GCTGTGTTACCATTTTTAGTTCTGGATTCGGCTCTCCTATATACTTTATAAATTTAAACCTAACTTCATATTAGTGCACTTCAACAGAAGTGTAAACTATGCAGCTGGATTTTTCAAATTCAGTCCAACAGCTGAGAACAGAATTTGTACCTGAACGATAATTATTTGGAAATGTGGCTGTTTGAAAAGAGAACTGTCCACTGTGTCATTATGATGAATTATTGTCTTCATGTGTAACACATGTTCACTTGAATCATCTGGAGCTATTTGTTTTTCAGCAACCTGCTTCTGGCACATTGGAGTCTCAATTATTGTAAACTGATCTCTGCAAGGCCGAGATTTACTAGCCTAAGTGTGGTCCAAAAGGTGCAATCCTGTATCCCTTAAAACCCTTATCTTGGAATGTGTGCTCACACAGGTCTGCTCAAAAGACAGCTAAACGCCACAGAAGAAAGCATCTTTCCCAACTTGGCCAAAGGTGCTTTGGACTCTGTTTCCTCCCAAAGCTCTCCCTACTTTTCTGAAGAACCCATCACTTAGTTATTTGTACTAGTCCGTTCAAAATACTCCTGCCTTTCTTCCCTCACAAATAGAAGTGTTTGCATATATCACCATAGTGTCTTTTTTAAATAAGTAAAATTATATTGGTGGCATAGTGACCTCAGTATTGTCCACATAAGAAAGTGATCCTGCATCCTTTTGAAAGTTTGTTGTTTTTCTCCACTGACGATTTGTACATTTGTCTGTATCGTATTGCCTCTTTTTCCTGTTGCTTATGTCAGTGGGAAGTGTTCCAGAAGGCATCAAACAGACCTAAGTCTACTGGGAAGAGAGATATTTTGGGATATTTGAACCATGGGTTGTTTCCAAACAATATAGATACATAGGCATTTTGTTGTTGTTTTTTAAATAATATTTATTACTTTTCCAACAATTTAAGCACACACACACACAAAATAAAAAGAAAAAAGAACAATACAATACATTACAAAAACACTACATAACACCTTAAACTAACAAAACAAAACAAAAACAATTTAAAAGACATCAAACAATTTCAATATCTTATCTTTCATTCACTTATTTCAGTGACCTCCTCACACCTCCCTTTTTATATTTCACTTCTGTTGATTGTTTCAGCAATTCCTTTCCATCTTCCTCTGCTTTCTATCCTTTAATTATCTTAACAGATTCTAACCTTATTTTTCCCTTTAATACTCTATTGATCTATTTATACTTAATTCCTTATAACATTTCTACTAAAGCCATATAACTTCATTCCAACATTTTTCTAACATTCATTAATTTTACAGTATTTCTGTAAATAGTCTTTAAACTTTTCCAATCTTCTTCCACCGACTCTTCTCCCTGGTCTCGGATTCTGCCAGTCATTTCCGCCAATTCCATATAGTCCATCAACTTCATCTGCCATTCTTCCCGGGTGGGTAAATCTTGTGTCTTCCAATACTTTGTGATGAGTATTCTTGCTGCTGTTGTAGCATACATAAAAAAGATACATAGGCATTTTGTCCACAATGGTGGCAATGACATCACCATTGGCCACTATTTGATCAGGCATTTCAAATGCATGGTCACACATGTACACATACATCTGGTCAGAGGTGTAAACACCACCTTTAGTTTTATTCTAATAAATAATGATCTCAGGCTTGGATTTCATATATGAGATCGCTGCATCATTGTCCACTGAAGAAAGTCCTTTCTTTCTTCGACACATAACTTAAGACTGTCAGATCTCCTTGAAGATCAAACATGCTTCTCTGAAGATTTCTGGATTTGTGGACTAGAAAGTCTGGGGGGATTTGGGGTTATTTTTTTCCTTCCAATGTTCCAACCAGTGCTTCTTCTTAAGTAATTCCCCCTGGCCAGTTGCACTCCGGAGCAGAACTTATTAGTTGTTCTATTCTGTCCTAAACACTATGAATGTGCTGTTAGTTTCTCAACTGGTGTCTGGATGAAGTTTCAAGCTGTTGGGGCACCTTCTTCCTTCTCCATATATATATATATATATATATATAATTTTTATTTATACCCCGCCCTCCCCAGCCAAGGCCGGGCTCAGAGCGGCTTACAAGCAATAATAAAAACAAGTTGAATGATTACAACTTAAAAACAAAATTAAAATACAACATTAAAATATTGAAACATTAAAATATTAAAATGTAGGAGGAGAAGGAAAAGAAAAAGAAAAAGAAAGAGAGGGAGGGAATCAAATTGCCTGTTTCATAAGCATATGATGTTCCAGAATAGCAGCACATCCATTTTATGTCATTGTTTGTGGTTTTGGGTAGCACACACAGCCTCATTGGGCATCTCCCTTTGGATGGTGCTAATTGTTCATCACTTGTCACTTTCTCATATGGCATGGTGGGAGGGTGATGATAGACCTATCCCACAGGTCATACACAGGAGCAAGCTTGTCTTGCACACTGGGAGTTCGACACTGAAGCCAGCCATCAAATCTGTGTCCTTCAGTGATCCTTTTGAAGGGGCCACGGCACTGTGTTCAGGAAGTGTTGAGGGCAACTCTCAGCAACATATTTTGCAAAGGAGAAAAGTGGTAATCTGGAATGTGAATCACATATGACTACCTGCTGAAGTGAGTGCTCATTGCTTGCAAAAACATTTGGAGTCTTGTAAGTGTAATTAGTAATTTGTTCCAAATTACAGCTGTCATAGTTATGCTGATTGACAAGGAAGGTCCTCACTGAGGGAATTTCTTTTTTTAAAAAAAAAAATCTAGCTTGTAAAGTCGTTTTAAAGGAAACCTTTTGGGGTACTGTTGACTCCCAATACCATTCATGGTGGCGTCAAGAGAAGTGAGGGATTTGTTTGCTGTCAGAATGAACAAATTCTTTTTGTCTCTCTCACTCTCTGTGCCCCTTTCTCATGTGAGATAGTCCAAGTGGGACATATGTCTGTGTAGACATTTATAAGACTTTACTCCCTGGCTAGGCTGCTGCTTCTGCCAGCAACTGAAGCTGCAGATCTGCCCCCATATGCATGGAGAGTGGAGTCTGGAAGGGGTTCCCACAGGAACACAGTAAACCACTACTGTCCCTTCCCTCTTTGCCTATCCAGTGTGTAACTGCTCTTCAGAGTGGACTGTGTCACTCAGCAGCATTCAGGTTAGAGCCTCCTGCCTTGTCTTAAAATATCACAGTGAATGCTCTCCCCCAAGTTCCCCCAAATGATTCTCTGCTCATTTGCTGGAAGTAGCCTGCAGACCAGAGGTCTGGAATTGCAAACTGGACAGTAGGACAAGAGATGGACTTGGATGGACTGACCAGCACATTCGGAAAAGCAAGAATTTGGTTCTGGGGGTGGGACAGAACGAGTACACAGGTTGTTGTATTAGACAGTGTTTGAGGACTTATGAAATGCTCCATAGAACTGCCTTGTCAGATAATGGAAACGGGTACCATAAGGTTTTAGGATAGTTTATTATAGTAATAATTTTGAATCAACAATGAACTCCAAATGCAGTTTTCACATGGGAAACTGGGTCCAGCAAGGAGCCGGACTATTGACTTTTCCCTTTAAAATATACTTCACAAATATCTTGGTCAATAAGTTTGAGACCGTCACTGGTACTAGGCTTTTGTAAATTTGTGTATATATTCATTTTCTTAGAAATTCAGGAGAGTTTTAGGTTTGCTGAAGGCAAAATGCTGCTGAGAGCAGAAGTATGAAACTTGGGTAGATCAGGAACAGCGATGATTCCTTCCAGGTCCTTCCATAACCACCAGGCCATCAGTAATTGCTTGACAACACCTCTCATAAGGCCGGCTATACAAAAAGAAGAGGGAAATATTTTTAAATAAAAAAACAAGAGTTTAAGGATATGTGAACACAGTACTCTACATGTTTCTCCTGTACACATCCCCTGAAATAGATATGAACCAGAAATTCCATACTCCTGCTTATTCATTTCAATGAGGTCTCCAGTCCCCTGGTGCATTGGTTCTTAGCACATTGGCCTATGATCTCCCCACCCCTTCAAACAAGTTTGAGTGTTAGGGTGTACAGCAAAAAACACCTATCGTAGCCAAAGAGCAAGCAGCTATACTGTGTGTATTTGAAGTGTTACTTTAATAGTCAATATTAGGGCTGTCAGTCAATTAAATAATTTTTCATTCATTTTTCATTAGTTAATTTTTCATTAATTGCTTGGGGCAGAGGAAGCATGAGAACTTAAGAGAACGCTTTGGGGGCAATGTATAAGGTGCATTATACAATGCAAATTTTAAAATACGATTTTAAAAAAATGAACTCTTCTTACAAAGAAGAGATTTTGTGATGAAACCATTAGAATATCACCAGAACAGAGAAGTTACACTTGAGATGGAGTAATTGCAACAAAGTTTCTTATGTTAAAAAATAAAGTTCCCTATCATCTGCTGTAATAAGGTTTGCCCGAACTGAACTGCAGAAAATCTGATTTTATTTAGTCATCATCACTATTGGCCTTAATTGGGCATCATCATATTGTCTAATAACTTTTAATTAATTTAAATTATGTTCATATCCCAAAATAGCTTGATGATGCTTTATCAGTAGCTTTAGCACAAAACAGGTTTCCTGGCACTTAAATTGGTACTCTCATGTGCTCAGATTTACTCAGCAGGGAACAATTAGATTCAATTAAACATTCATTATATATTAGGTGATGAAAAATGGAGGCATGTTTTGTTGCTGCAAGTTCAGAGAGGTGAATGCTCCACTGTTTCAAATGGGAAGGCTGTATGTGTGAGGTCTCAAGATGCAGTATCTTTTTAAGTCATGAGTTTCTGGAGCTCCTCAGGAGGGGTTCCACAATATTAGCCAAATCAGAGACTTAATCAACTGGATTCAGTTCCAGAGCAATTTGCTGCTTGTCGCTAGTCTAGGCCCAACCCTGCTTTGGTAGCAGATAGCTATAGGGAGGAAGAATAGGAGTCTTGCTTTAGGGAAAATAGGCATGGCAGCAAGGAGGGAGAGCCTGTTTGCATCTTCAAATAGCTCGGTCAGTAGAGCATGAGACTCTAAATCTCAGGGGTGTGGGGTTGAGCCCCACATTGGGCAGAAAGATTCCTGTATTGCAGAGGGTTGGACTAGATGACCCTCGTGGTAACTTCCAGCTTTACAATTCTAGGATTCTACTTTTCTTAGTAAAGGTAAAGGGGCCCCTGACCATGAGGTCCAGTCGTGGCCGACTCTGGGGTTGCGGTGTTCATCTAGCTTTATTGGCCAAGGGAGCCGGCGTACAGCTTCCAGGTCATGTGGCCAGCATGACTAAGCCGCTTCTGGCAAACCAGAGCAGCGCATGGAAATGCCGTTTACCTTCCCGCCGGAGCGGTACCTATTTATCTACTTGCACTTTGATGTGCTTTCAAACTGCTAGGTTGGCAGGAGCAGGGACTGAGCAACAGGAGCTCACCCCCTTGCGGGGATTCAAACCGCTGACCTTCTGATTGGCAAGCCCTAGGCTCTGTGGTTTAACCCACAGCACCACCCATGTCCCTCTACTTTTCTTAGCTTCACTTAAAAGGACCGTCATTAAAACATTCTAATGCTGCTATTTATTCATTTCAACAATATTTGCATCTGTTTGCTTAGTTACCTTCATTGCCTTTGGCTGTTTGCACAGTATACCTTTAAAGTGGATTCAAAACACATTCTTGCCCTCAAATAATTCTGGGCACTGTAGTTTCTTAAGGGTTGCTGGGAATTGCAACTCTGTGAGGGGTAAATTACAGTGCCCAGAAAAAAAATGTGTTTCTAATGTGGTGTGGTGTGTGTATTTTGTATTTTACAGTGATACATAAAGCACTTACATTCTGACAAGTTGAAGAAGTGTACATTATTTAAAACTCCAGGTGTTTTGACGAGTTCTCGTTACACTCTTGACCAAAAGTCAGAAAGAAGAGGCAGCCGCAAGCAAAGGATGTAAAGAGTTCTTAAGGCTATTTACAGCCACTGCTGTTACCTTTTCTCTAACCCATTGGTTGTAGAAATTCTGTTTCTCAGTGGGCAAGAGAGGAACTCCTCACACATTTGAATCTACTCTTTGCTTTGTTAGTGCTGCACAGGATCCTGGTGTACAGAAATAAATAAGGTTTAAAAACTGTAGCCCTACAAATTCCAATTTGTTGTTGCTGTTTAGTCATTTAGTCGTGTCTGACTCTTTGTGACCCCATGGACCAGAGCATGCCAGGCACTTCTGTCTTCCTCTGCCTCCCACCAAACTCATGCTGGTAACTTTGAGAACACTGTCCAACCATCTCGTCCTCTGTTGTCCCCTTCTCCTTGTGCCCTCCATCTTTCCCAACATCAGGGTCTTTTCCAGGGAGGAAATGAGGTGGCCAAAGTATTGGAGCCTCAGCTTCACGATCTGTCCTTCCAGTGAGCACTCAGGGCTGACTTCCTTAAGAATGGATACGTTTGATCTTCTTGCAGTCCATGGGACTCTCAAGAGTCTCTTCCAGCACCATAATTCAAAAGCATCAATTCTTCGACAATCAGCCTTCTTTATGGTCCAAATTCCAATAGTCAACAGCTATCCTTGTTGACAACATTCTGCTGTAGAAGGAAACCCAAAATATTCTTCTTAAATAGTAATGGATACAGAGGAAAAAAGGGAGTTGCTAGCCATATTTTAAAATAGCCTTTAAACGAGAGCAGGATGCTGTTTTGTGTTTGTTTGTTTTTTAGTCCTACTGACAGATTGCTAAAACACTGGGTTATCCATTATTCTTACTGTGATCCTGTCAGAGCACCAAGATGGAGTGTGGCATGTCAGTCTCAGTGGGCAGCTATGGTAACCACATCCTCAATGGTGCTTGCCAAAAGCTGGGTTAGAGGGTAAGGAAATATCTTCACAATGCAGGGGCACTGGTGGTGTACCCACACAATTAGATGAAGCACACTTCAACCATATTTTACTTTTATACACCCCCTCCTGCCAACCCTTCATAGCACTATATGCCCTCTTCTTCTTTTTTGCAGGGGTATATGCTGAAGATACAGCTTCAGTTTGGAGAAATAACTATGCCCCCCTGTCCCCTAAAGCAGGACTGTGTGGATGCTGGAAACACAGGAAAGGAAAGGCCCCATCTGGTCAGGGACACAGAATTCAGCTTCCAGACAATCCCAACTTTTCTAGCCCTTGTGGCATATGTTTGAAAGAAACTCGTCATTGCTGACTAAATAAGCACTAGCCTATATATGCCTGTATGGGAGCTGATGAAGCACAAAATGGCTTAGTGATGCTGCTCTTACCTCGAAGACGGAAAAGCAGAACAGTGGTACAGTGATACCTCGGGTTACATATGCTTCAGGTTACAGACGCTTCAGGTTACAGACTCCGCTAACCCAGAAATAGTACCTCAGGTTAAGAACTTTGCTTCAGGATGAGAACATAAATCATGCTCCGGCAGCACGGCAGCAGTGGGAGGCCCCATTAGCTAAAGTGGTGCTTCAGGTTAAGAACAGTTTCAGGTTAAGAACGGACCTCTGGAACGAATTAAATTCTTAACCTGAGGTACCACTGTATAATGATTTTATATATATATATATTTTAAAAAAGAAACTTGAATCCAAACTGAGATAAAATATTGCTGGTAGTTTCTTTAAAAAGTGTTATTCACGCCGCTCTGCAATAGACACATGACAGCTGAATACAATAAAGGTAAAGGGACCCCTGACCATTAGGTCCAGTCATGACCGACTCTGGGGTTGCAGCGCTCATCTCGCTTTATTGGCTGAGGGAGCCGGCATACAGCTTCTGGGTCATGTGATCAGCATGACTAAGCCACTTCTGGCGAACCAGAGCAGTGCACAGAAACGCCGTTTACCTTCCCGCCGGAGTGGTACCTATTTATCTACTTGCACTTGACGTGCTTTCGAACTGCTAGGTGGGCAGGAGCAATGGGCGCTCAGAATACAATACATGCAATAAAATTCAGTTATCATGAAAGGGCAATGGCTAAAATTCATTCTCCCAGAGCCCATTTCTGTCTCTGTTCAAAAATATTTGGCAACCTAGGACTTTATCTCTCCCTGAATTGCAACAGATAACCCCAAAATGCTCTGCCTCCTCCCTCTCCTTACTACATCAGCACAGCACCTTTAACCTGGGAGGGTCTCTCAACAGCTATCAATTCTTCCTTAGCTTGAAAAGATCTAGTTCTTTTCAGCCAGTCTCTTCAGGTTGCATTGACTTCTTAGAATCTTCTCATTCAGAACTTCAGATGCAAATTTTTAAAACGATTCTAATGCTCTGGGAAGCCCCGTTTAATTAGGGACCTCATCCTGGCTACACTTGAGGGGAGCCACCTGTTACAATCTTCCATAACATTCTGCCAGCAGCTGTGGGGCCTAGATTCTTTATAGCCATTTGTGTCAAGGAGAAAGCTACTAGTATGATCTGCATGAATTTTATACTTTCTGCTGGTGTAAGATTACTGACTACACCAGGTGCAGAGCAGTGGAAGCTCAAATTGTATTTTCCCCCTTCTTTTGTTCCACAGCAGCTGTAAGCCCTGAACTAATGGCATCTTCCTGTTGTGTTCTGAAGCAGTGGGGGGCAGTGTTGGCCTATAGTATGAATATTATATTTGTGAATTCCCAGTAATAGAATTTCAGAAATATATAGCACTGGGCTTTTCTCAGGATGCACAGGTTTATAAACCTGAAATGCATAGTGCATTGTGTTGATGGGACCCTGGGGCTACTGTTTGCTGTTCTAAACTATCTGAGCACCTTATTATCTGCATCTGAACTGACCAACCTGCAGTCTAAGGCCTGAACTATTCATTGCATGTAGCCCCATCTTGCTTGTTTCCCCCTCGTTTTTTCCCCAGTTTTCTTATTCGGCACAGTCACTGAATCTGCAGTCTGGAGCAGAAGACCTGCACAGGAAGAAAAGAAAGTGCTTTTTTTTTTTTACCCTTTTCCTCATGCTATGTTTCTGTTTGAAGCTGGACCCCAAGCTGCTTTTTACCCTTGCTGGGGGAAATACACAAGTATCTGTATTGTTTCCCCAGTGGAGTTAAGAAACCCCTTGGAGTAAGGAGTCAACTCTCCGTGTGGGGGTGGGGGCTCTCAGTGGGATAATCACCCGAGGGTGGGGGAAGTTAAGAAGTCCTTTGCTGCTGCTGTTATTTGCTTTGAATTGCAACTTCAACAATTGCACGGTATACCAACAATTGCACGGTATACAACAAAAGAAGGCCCAGAAAAAGAATCGCAGATAAGGAGAGAGGGGAAAGGGCAATAGCTCTGAGGTAGCGTATATGACTTACACGCAGGAGGTCTCAGTTTCGATCCCCGGGATCTCCAAGTAGATTTGAGAATGTCCACTGACAAAGAATGTCCAGTGTCTAAGAATGTCCACTGTCTCGAACCCTGAAGAGCCACTGTGTAGGCTATTCTGAACAAGACAGACCCGTGGTCTGACTTAGTAGAAAATGGCTTCCTAACAACACTGAATCTTTGGTTTTGCCCTCAGGTGGCTTCCTGGGCATCTGTTAAAAGGGCAGAGCCTGTTTGGTGCCTGCTTGATCTCAGTTTTGCGGTAGTGACACTGGAGCCTCTTTAAAGTACAATGTACAGTAGTACCTCAGGTTACAGACGCTTCAGGTTACAGACTCCGCTAACCCAGAAATAGTACCTCGGATTAAGAACTTTGCTTCAGGATGAGAACAGAAATTGCGAGGCGGTCTCAGTGGGAGGCCCCATTAGCTAAAGTGGTACCTCAGCTTAAGAACAGTTTGAGGTTAAGAATGGACCTCCAGAACGAATTAAGTTCTTAACCTGAGGTACCACTGTATTGCAACCTTTCCCCCCAGCCTTTTATCTCTACTGCTAACCCTGACACCCAGAAATGTTGTGATTTCTCGCCCCCACAGCATGAAGATAAGGGGAATCATTTTAGCTACAAACTTTCTGCAAGTTAGGCTGCCATTAAAGCATTCTCTGTCTTTTATTTCTATGCCAGGAAAAGCTTCATCAGCTCCCCCCCCCCCCGCCCACGTCACAGAAACAGGGGCTAGTAAATAAAAGTTGGCAACCTTCTGTGTACA